GTGTGTGTGTGTGTGTGTGTGTGTGTGTGTGTGAGAGAGAGAGAGCGAGAGAGAGAAAGTGATCTGGGGACGTCGGTAATCATGAGAACCAGAGTCCCAGAGGAGATTAACTTGATCTTTGCTGTAAAAGGAATAGCCTTGAAGTCACAAATATTGGATACACACACACACACAATCTGTGGGGGGTTTATTCGTTTTACTGCATTCCTTAGCTCCTTACCCTAGCCATCACAGTTGAATGCCAGCATTCCCATAATTCTGGCCTTTACCCTAAATCCAAGTCTTGGCCTTGAAAAAACCCCAGCGTGATCTAACTAAACTAGCTTGTGTTGGTACAGTCAGGTCAAAGTCCCCACTGGGCTTGATAAAACACACACACACACACACACACACACACACACACACACACACACACACACACACACACACACACACACACACAGAGAGATTCCTCTGGTGTGCACTCACCACCAGCAGATCCAAACAAAGGTTCTGATCTTCTTATATGCAACTGATCTTATTAATGTATGGAATGTGCTGTAATGCTCAGTGAGATGAAAACAGGGGTGCCACATGCATGCACGTAACTGTGCCGTGACACATCTGCCGGAGAGGAAGAGGTGAGCGCACGGAGAGGGAGACTCTCAATAGAAAAAAGGGATGCTGATACAATAATGCCCTGTCTGATCAGCCTTTGAATTTCCATCCCTCTATTTCACTTCATTACTCACACACACACACAAAGCCCTCCTGTCATAACTGATTAGAACACATCAGAGTACCACACTGAGCCACAGTACAGCAACAGTGCTCAGAAAAATACTGCTCCCTTGTTCTGTTGCTTGGCAGAGCCTAAAGGGACACCGGACAAAGAAACGAGGAAAGGCAGTCACAGAGCGATCTAATGTTATCTTGCTAAATGCTGTTTTTGCTTTTTATTACACGTTTATTACAAGTTTAATGTGTCCAGAATTGTTTTTTTTTTAAATTTTGCAGTAGGAAAACATTTAATAAAAGCACAAGAAGATGGAAGGGATGAGTCCTGGTGTGTGTGGGAGACAAATGGAGGTTGTTTGTAAATGATAGAGCCCTGATGACACCAGCCAGACCAACAACAACCCCCCGAAAAAGCACCAACTTTCCTGTTATGAGGGAATACATTCATATTTATGCATATTTATGTTTTAATTTTAGTCTAATTAGTCTGTTAGTCTAATCTCAAACAGTTATGGAAACCTAGAAATGTATCTGTTCATGCTTTTTCATCCTTCAGGGTTAGCTGGGTCCTCGCTCTCGTATTTTGGTAAAAACTATAAAGGCACAGATGCTGATCTGTTATTAAATTCTGCTATCAGCCGCTGGCTTAGCTTCTGTGTCAGCAGACTCGTGCTCTGTAGATTCGTTTGACAGGGAGGGAAACCCGAAGTCCTCCTGCGTGCGAACACAAGTCGGCCCACACGGACCTGATGTCATGGCGAACTGGCAAAGTGTAGTTTTAGCACGTTGCCTTGGTGTGAACGTAGATGACGGGGAAGCCGTTTTTAAGTGCAAAGAGGTGAAAAGGGGTTAAGAAGTCCACGCTCCAAAACCAGAGGGAGCTCGTTCCCCGCATGTGGGCACAAATTGAGGAAATGCTTTTTGTCTGGGAAAAAGCGATCAGGCAGAAATAGAGGGAGAAGCTGGAGAAGTTAGTCCTGGAACAAGCATCAGGTTCTTTCACAGCTTTGAGGGCATGAGGACAGATATCACCTGAGGGAGAATGTGAAGGAAACAGCAAATATTAACTCAAAATCTACAAAGAAACAAAAAATGAGAGGATGAGCAGGTCATAGCGAGGCTGATTGCCAACGTGTTGCCATCAGTTAATGAGCACAACTCAAGCAGACTTGACTCAGCTGGCTTCCAGCCACTGACAAAGTTACATTTGGAGGATGAAATTTGAAGTTAATTAAAGGTGATAAATACCAATGCATGCTGTTACAATACTCAGCATAATGACAATAAAATCCTAACATGAGTTAGAAATATTGTGATAAAAGTATCCTCTGCCCTCTATTCCCCAAACAGTGAAGTTTTACTGCTTTACTTACCTCTCCACAAAGCTGCGGCGTTCACTGACACCAAAAATACAAAACAAAAAACCCCCCGCTGTCATCTTGGCATTGGTCAATAAAAATGAGCACACAGTTTGTGCATTTTAAAATCTGATATTTTTTGAGTTTGAAAGGAAGTCACAGTGGTTTCCTTTCTCCCACGAGCTGCATTTTGCCAAAGATACTTTCTTTTTCATAGTCACGTGACTTTCAAAGGGTTCCTTATCTGTGATATCTGTGAAGCGTCAGAGGTTTGGATTCAGAAAGTGTTTTTCTCCCTCTGATGTCTGGTCAGAGTTCACGTAGCCTCGTATTTGGTAGACATTTAGGTGACTAGTGTGTGAAGTCGTAGTGCATAAGCTTAAGCAGCCACGTTACCTTCCCTTATCTGCTCTCCTTCTTCTGCTTTACTTCCTCCCGACTTACTCTTTCCATTCATCTTTTATAACAACGCAAAGACGAGGCACGTGATGGTGAGTGCGCGGCCTAAATGTGTAATCAAATAACACAGCTGACCAACAGCGACGCACCTGTGGCCCTGCATGAGAGGCTTCTTTTAAACCAGTGTGTGCGTGTCCGTGTGTGCGTGTGTTCATCCTGATGTAAAAAAATGTGATTTCGTAACATCTCCAGATGTGTTTTTTCCCTTTAAGCTGGGATTGAGAGGTTTACTGCTGATTACGTAAATACAACACACACACACACACACACCTACGCATATACACACACCCGCACACACACGTAGCAACTTTCTCATGGCGAATAATGCAATGCGGTTAATAGTTAATGGCCAGTGGTGTCCCTTTGTGGTGGTAACAATGAAGCACTCTAAAATGCAGACAGCGTGATGAGGATTAGAGGGTTGCAAATCCTTTCACAATGACCATCTCACACACACACACACACACACACACACACACACACACACACACACACACACACACACACACACACACACACAAGAACAAGAAGTAAGGCCTCCAGATCTCCTTTCATTATCTAAACACATACTTTCGCCTCTCCGTCTTCCCCCTCTCGGCCCTCTCTCAGATTCATGAACTGCAGGGTGCCAGCCAGCAAGAGATACCAGCCCACTGAATATGAACACGTTGCAAACTGTGCCACACATGGGGTAAGTCTAAACAAATACGTACGTAGAGCAAACAAACAACACACAATACATGTACACTAAGAAATACACGTGTCGCTGCTGTGTTAGCTCAGAGGATCCTCTAAAAAAACGATGAGGAGGATTGTGAAGAATGAGGCACGGTGATGTGTGATGGAAGCATTGGGCTGTAATCTCTGAGTCAGCCTGTAGTTTCCTGTAATCTGCCGTAATCCCAGTGTGTCCCTATGGAAGACTACGACTGCCAAAATCAAAAATTAAATAGACATGAAGTGTAAAATAGTGACTTCCACCTCCCATTCTTTACTTTTCTGTTTCATTTACAAAATATTCCTCAATGTATAAATAATAAAATAGCTAATTAAAACTGATAATTATGTAAAACTACAATAGTTTTTAATCAATGCTAATTCATGCTACAATATTTTGTAGCATTAATGATGAATCATAGATACAGAAGATCTAATACGCCTCTAAATCTCTCATGGCAGTTAAAATACGTTCAAACGTGTACACAGTGAATATAGATGTAATGTCGCCGTTTGGTGCTCAGTTGAAATGTCAAATGTGCAAATATATGTAGTATTTGTACAAAATATTTGTATGCACCATATAGATGTTTGCACTCAGTCCCAGAGGGAATGTTTATGCAAAGTTTCATCAACATTGGTCCACTTGTCTAGGAGGAGATAGGGAACATACCAATATAGATCCATACGCTACGATCACTATAGTATGATATACATCGTTACTGCTTCCATAGGAATTAAGAAGGTCAGTAGCAGCCAACTGCTTCAAATCAAATGCACTGGATTAACTGCTCAGTGGGGTTCCCACCTGTATAAAAGCAGAACTTTTGGCAATTTGCTCGTCAGGAGTTCGCAGGCATGTTAACACAATGCCACAGTCTTACCAGGTGTGGACGTGCCAGCAAACTCGTGCCAAGGTCAGACCGTGCACTGCTCAGAGAAACTGTAAAATACCCCAAAACCCACATCTGGGATTCCACAGGCCTCAGTTAGCATGTTATGACAGCACAATTAGAAGAAAAGACTCAGCAAGTATGGCTTGTTTTGAATGGTTACCTGGGAAGTTGCATCTGATTGAACCAGATTGCTTCTGAAACAAAGTGGAGATGTGAGACCATAATGCAGC